GAGGTGGGGGAATGAGCCACAGTGTAGTGTAGAGGTCAAAGGACAGCCTTGGGTTCTTGCCGTCTACCTGGGTTCACTGTTGTCTACGTCAGGTTAGCTGACCCAAAAGTTCCTGGGAATTCTCCTGTCTCTGCTTCCCGTCTTAGCAAAGAATTACAAATGTCCTCCAGTGCCCGGCTTTATGGGAGTCCCCGGGAGGATTCGAACTCAGGACCTCACATTGGGACTCACCCACTGGGGCCCTTGGTTCTAATATTCTAGAAGCATGTCTCCATCTATATCTATAACTGACCAAAGCTGACCCGCAGGGGACATAGATTGACTCACACAGGGAACTGTGTGCTCAGGTTCTGCCCCCCCCCCCAATGCCCATCTCCCTCCTCCTGCCTCAGCCCAGTGCTGGGGTGATGGTCCAGCACCGCCACACCAGGTGTGGGCTTCTCAGTAAATAGTTGATATTGTATGAAAGAAACTTAAATAATTTGAAGACGGAAGACTGGCTTATGTTTCTCCCCGTGGAGATGCACACTCCCATCTGGTAGCTCTTCCTCTTACCCCAGGCCTTCCTGTGACATTCCATGGACTGTCACCGCAGATATGTTCCTGAGCCTTTGGTATGTCTGAATATCCTATTTTGTCTCCTGCTTTACCAAAAAAAAAAAAAAAAAAAATTTTTTTTTTTTTTTTTTAAAATCAGGTCATCCAGATGGCTCAGTAAGAAAAGGCTTCCAACAACACGTCAGGCCTGAGTTCCGTCTCTGGGTCCCACACGGTGGGAGAAGACAGCCAGCCAGCTCTTATCCTCTGGCCGTCACACGAGCTGTGGCACACACACACACACAAATAAATAAATATGGGACACACATATTTCAAGGGTAGGGTCGGGAGGCTGGGCAAAAAGGCAAGTCGTGGCTAGATAGTGTTTACAAAGTATTTTCTCTGACCACAGCGGAAATCAAAATCAAGGGGATGGCTCAAGACACCACAAGTATTTGGAAAGTAAATAGCCTAGGGGTCCAAAAAGGAAGTTTAAAAAAAGTAGGAATTTTATAAAATTAAATGAGAAAGAAAATAGGAATGGGGGAGGGGTGCTCGAGTTAGATGCCTGGGACCCAGGTGCTGATGGGAGAGGAATCAGCTCTGAGCTCAGCCATTTGCAAACAATAAATAGATAAATGCAAGCAGAGACAGAGAAAGAACCAGGCCCTGTAATCACCATACTCGGGAGACTGAGGCACAGGCTAGAGAAGGTCAAGGCTGAGTGTGGAACAGTATGGAAGCCTACAGACCTGAAGATGGGCACCCCCTCCTTCCATGTGCGTGCTCCGGCACCGTGGAAAGTGTCAGGGACTGTCTTTAGGGTTCTGTGGATAGGGATGTAACATCCTCTCCCCACAAACAGGGAGTTTGGGGAATGTTCTAGATGAGAACAGGAAGGGCACCGTGTGTGTGTGTGTGTGTGTGTGTGTGTGTGTGTGTGTGTGTGCGCGCGTGTGTGTGTGTGTGTGTGTGTGTGTATTATATATTTATCATTTATTTAGTGCAAGCACACGGAAGTGTTTCTAAAATCTCTTCCTTCAGAGAGTCATAAACAACACCCCCTCCTCCCAGGGTCCCAGCCACCAATCGAGGCACATTCTGCCACAGTTGACCTGGGGAACCAGAGCAGCCAGGGGTGAGGGGCTAGGGCAGCTGCTGCATTGAACGGTCTACCCAGCAGGGATGATGACACCTCACGGCTGTGTAGATGAAGCCCCCACACCCCTAGTCCTTTCCAGCCATATGCGTCTCCCCCAGGCCACATGTATTTAGGGCAGGATGGCCTACAGCAGGTTGGGAGGGGCACAAACCTAGCTGCGTGATGTTTTGTGTCTGCCCAGCCCAACTCCCGGATATGGTACTAATTTGGTTTGTCAGATGCTCCAACAGATGGTACAAAAGGCCAGAGGACAACTGGTGAGGGTTATCTCCTCCTGCCCTGTGAATTCCAAGGATCAAACTCAGGTTGTAACACTTGGCAGCTAGTGCCTTTCTGTGCCAAGCCGCTCACCCGGCCCTGGCCTCCAATCTGTAATCACATACACAGTATTCCTTTGGGGCCACAGCAGACCCCACTGTGCCCTTTGCCCATTGGTGTTTTCTGATTTCCTCCAATAATCTTGATGTTACCCAAGTGTTCTACCACTAAGCCACACCACTAGCCCCTCACTGGGGGATTCTAGGCAGGGGCTCCACCACTGAGCCACGCCCCCAGCCCCTCACTGGGGGATTCTAGGCAGGGGCTCCACCACTGAGCCACACCCCAGCCCCTCACTGGGGGATTCTAGGCAGGGGCTCCACCACTGAGCCACACCCCCCAGCCCCTCACTGGGGGATTTGAGGTAGGGATGTAGCCACTGAACTATACCCTTGGGTTGTTTCTTTGAGATGGAATGTCACATCCCAAGCTGGCCTCCAACTCACAGGCCTCCTATCTCTGCGTGACCCTACATCTAGCCCCTGCTGTCTTTGGATTCTGGCTGCAGTTTGATGGAGTGAATGACTGTGGCCCCACACCCATGCAGAGAATCCCCTCTCCCGTTTCCTGTAATAGTGTTGGTCGGGCCCATCAGAGTCAAAACCCACCCTGTATCCAGCTTTATCCATTACGGCTCTCAGTGTGACATTCTCAACGCTAATCTCTTTAGAGGTTTACTTACCATTTAACAATTTTCAAGATAGATTTATTTGCTTTATGTGTTTGGCCAGCAAGTATGTACACCACCACGTGCAGGCTTGGTGTCTAGGCAGGTTAGAAGGTGGCATCAGGTCCCCTGGAACTGGTATTATAGGCAGTTTTGAGCCCATGTGGGTTCCAACCATGGTTTTGCTTTGTTGTTTTTTTTTTATAATTATGAATCTGTTTGTGTATGTCCGAGGTGTGTATGTCTGAGGGTAGGCATTGGAGCTCTCTGAACTGGAATTACAGGTACAGAGCTGCCCAGTGTACATGCTGGGAACACAAGGCTAAGATCGTCCGGAAGCTTCGCAAAGACCTTTAACCCTGAGCCACCTCCCCAGACTGGCTTAATACCCACTTGGGAGGAAAAGGCAGGTGCATCTCTGTGAGATCGAGGACAGCCTGGTCTACCCAGTGAGTTCCAGAACAGCCAGGGCCATATAGAGATTGTGTCTTGCAAAAGAAATCATCTTCTAGGATTGGGGGTGTTGGCTCAGGAGACAGACTGCTTGTCTAAAATGTGAAGATTACTTGACACACACCAGAAATCCCAGGCCTAGGAAGGCAGAGGTAAGAGGATCAGAAATTCAAGGTCATTCTCATCAATGTAGTGAATTCAAAGCCAGTCTAGGCTACCTGAGATCCCATCTGAGGGACACACGCACGGACACACACACACACACACACACAATATGGTCTTGGAAACAGGGATGTCAGTGTAAATATATGAAATGTAGAAGCCAAGTATAGTGGCATGTGTCAAGAGGTAGAGGCAGGTGGATGTCTGTGAGTTCAAGGCTAGCCAGGGCTACATAGTAAAACCTTAGTGAAAAAAGGGCAGTGGGAATTGACACTCTGTGTGTGTGTGTGTGTGTGTGTGTGTGTGTGTGTGTCTTCTCCACCACGTGGGTCTAAGGGCTCAAACTCAAGACTGTTAAGTTGGTGGCAGGCACCTTTACCCACTTGAGATGGAATCCCGTCCGGCCCTACACTTCCGTCATTTTTGCCTCAGTACCCAACCTGCTGGGATTACAGCTCTGCTGTCACCAAGCATGAAGACGAGGCCGCTTTCAAATGACGAAATACCAAGTCAGGAATACGACGCAAAACATGAGAGCATGGAGATGAAATGCATGTGTAATTGTGCAAGTGCCCCCAGAGGCATCAGACCGCCCGTCAGCCCTCTCCTGAACGTCAATGACATTGAGGTGTCACTCTCAAAAGGCCAGGGAGGGAGGAGGGACATCCTTTGGGCCTCTTACTGAGGCCGGGGCAAGGAGAAGTTAAGCAATTTCCCAGGAGCGACAGGAAGTACAGCCCAGAGACTAACGGCTTCGGCTCTCAGAGGCCAGAGCCTCATGTTACAGAGTGTGCAGACATGCGTGAGGTTTCAACCCCGGCCCCTGTGCTGACCCCTGGCTGCCTCCTCTCTGACTTCTCAGGGAAAAATAAAAAAATAAAATAAAACACAACCCAGGCCAGGAAGCATCCATCACAAGCTGTCCAGCTGAGGCCGGAGGGGCAGAGGTCAGCAGGCCGATGACCTCAAGGATTCTGTAGGGACTGGGCTCCAGCTGGGCTCCGGCTTAAGAGTCTGGAAAAATTTCCCACCCAGAGACTTTTCCTGCATCAACCCAGGAGGGCGTCCTGGATGCCTGCTGCCCCCCCCCCCAGCTCCTTCCTCTCTGGACAAGGTTCCTCCCCTAAGCATGGACGAGGAGGACCGTGCCAAGGTGGCATCAGCAAGCAGAGAAAGTCAGACACTGGGATAAATAAAATAGTGGTCAAGTGCCTGCCTCAGAGCCGCAGATTGAGGACTTGCTACCAACCGGCGGTGTCTGGCCGTCTACACCTTCTGCTCATGTTCACTGTGCTCCCCGCTCCAGAGGAGTTGGACCCCAGCCCTGGTGGCCTTGGGTGTGTGCAAAGAGTGCTTGGCCCTGGGCCCTGCCTTCCCTCCCCTGCACTTGGGACTCAGCCCTTCCTAGTGTTAAATAGAAACCTCTTTATTCTAAGTATCTACCATTCCTTAATACGTTGGATTGGGGCCAGACCTTGAGGTGAGGGGAAAGGAGGTGGGGCGGGGATATTTGTGTAGAACCTTCCAGAAGGCTCTCCGCCATGCTGGGCTATGGGGGAGGAGGGTGCTGGAAATGACCTGGGCAGCCTTGGGGGACTCTTTCGCTAATCCTGGCCTCTGTTTCCCTTCCAGAGGGGACACTCCGGGCTGGGTGGGATATCTAAGGCACCTCCCATCCCCGAGGTCTGTGTCTCAGGCAACGAGTCACATGGAAGGGAGGAGGGCGTCTCAGCAGCAACACAGGCACCAGGAGCCTCAGCGTTGGGCTCGGGCTCTAAGTGACGATGGAGGACGAGGCCGCAGGGGCAGACAAGCAAAACTGGGCCTGGCCAGCCGGGAGACAGGGAGGCGCCCCAAGAAGTGAGGGAGGCCGAGGCAGAAGGATGAGCGGGGCACGGGGATGTCAGCAAAGAAGGTGCGGTCCCGAGGGGGCGGCAGGGTACCACCTTCAGATAGTTCCAGGTCCCGGGCCACCGCCAGAATCTCCTGGCGGGCAGCTGTGTTTCGAAGTCCTCTGATGTCCAGGAGGGCTGCCACATGCTTCCGCCTGGCGGGACGGGAACACAGAGTACACTTACTCGAGGGTCCTGGGATCCAGACAGGTACCCAGCCCATCAGCGCACCCCGCTTGAACTCTGGGACCCTGTCTCATTTCCTTGTGTTATCTCTTGTTCCAATCTCCTGCAGCCACTTCCAAATTTTCCATGTAGAACCTTCCAGAATGCTCACCTCCAAGCCCAGTAGTAAAGACTTTTTTTTGTCCAATGTCTCTAATCTTCATTAATTAGTTTTCACTCTTCACCCTAATTTGCTTCAGCAGTCTCCTTTTTAAACGGATTTTTACAGTAATGGAGACTGAAACAAGGATCTCACACCTGGATAATTCTAGGCAGGGGCTCTACCACTGAGCCACACCCCAGCCCCTCACTGGGGGATTCTAGGCAGGGGCTCTACCACTGAGCCACACCCCAGCCCCTCACTGGGGGATTCTAGGCAGGGGCTCCACCACTGAGCCACACCCCAGCCCCTCACTGGGGGATTCTAGGCAGGGGCTCTACCACTGAGCCACGCCCCAGCCCCTCACTGGGGGATTCTAGGCAGGGGCTCTACCACTGAGCCACGCCCCAGCCCCTCACTGGGGGATTCTAGGCAGTGCTGCCTGCTGGCCACATCTCTAGCTGTCATTTAAGCATTTAAATCTTTCAGAGTCACTTTTTCTTTGAGTTTGGGTCTCTATATTGTTCTGGCTGTCCTGGAACTCACTGTACACCAGGCTGGTCTCAAACTCAGAGATCCACCTAACCCCTGCCTCCGGAGTGCTGGGATTAAAGGCCTGTGCCACCGCACGGGGCTGGACTGCATAATTCCCGTATCCAGTCCACAACTGTATTACCATCCCTGGGCAGTAGACAAGAGAATGAGACTCAGGGAAGGTCCCATCAAAAGGAAGGGGCCCACCTAGATTTGGACATGTCCGTTGCTGTCCTGAGTGTATGCCTGCATGCCCATGTGCGTCCCCATGTCCCGGGCAGTTCCCTGCATGGCCAGCCCTTCCTGCCGCCAGGCGGCCTGCCCCCCCCCCCCCTTTGCCCTAGGCTTCCTGTGCTGCTTGTTTGTTTGCAAGCGCTGATGGCGGTGGTGGCGGCGGCTGAAGGAGGGAAATAGTATTAAGAATGCCCTGGTTCCAGCAGGAAACGGCCGTCAGACACGCTCGCCGCCACCCTGCCTTGGCGCAGGCCAGGAAACGCTGCGATGGATGCCAAGGAGACTCAGGCCTGGCCGCATCTCACCTGATGTCTGGGTAGTCGCGCACCAGCACCCCGACCTCCACCTGGATGCTCGGAGTGTCCTCCAACTGCAGGATCTCGGCCAAATGAGGCACCACCTGGTCGAGCCAGGAAGCCTGGGACTCCTGCGGGACAAGGGCTGCTGGGTCACCCAATGCAAACTCCCATTACCCCTTTCGTGATGAGCCCTGCTCCTGCTAGGCTCTTCCCCATGTGTAAAATGTCTCAGAAGGCAAACTCTGACCAGAGATTAGCTAGAATTTTTGGTTGTGTAACATGATTTATTTGGCCCGGCAGTGGTGGAGCATGCCTTTAATCCCAGCACTCAGGTGGCAGAGGCAGCTGGAATCTTTGTGAGTTTAAGTCCAGCTTGATGTACATTCCAGGACAGCCAGCTCTACATAGAGTGACCCTGACTCTTCCATCGAGGTTTGGTGGCAAATGCCGATAATCCCAGCACATGGGATGGAGACGGGGGATCTGGAGTTCAAAGTCATCTTCAGCCATGGGGAGTTTGAGGCTCAGCTGTATGAGGCCTTAAATCCCAAAGCAGAACCGAACAAAATGCCAACATTAGGTAAGGGGAGGCAGGGCGCAGGCGTGGGAATTTTGGGGCCATATAGCCAGAGGCAATCTCAAGAGACAAGAGCTAGGACATAGATATTTGATAAACTGAGGCCCTACATCAATTCCTCGTGGGGGAGGGGAGCATAAAATAGAACTATTGTAAGGGGGGTGTTGAGGGTATGTACAAGCTCTGAGTTGCATTTTAGGCACTGCCAGTTGTAGAGAAAAAATTTTATCAAGGCTAAAAAAAGGAGAAAAAATTTAGCAAGGCTAAAATGTCCCCGTGGGGAGGGGAGAGGGGAGCGCAGTGTGGTCTTTCCTGCTCTGCCTGCATGCTCACAATTATCTTGAAAATGTTTCAGTAAATGAAACTAAACACAAACTCCCAAGGACACAGGCAGCAGCTGGTGGGTACTCGGACACCTCCTCCCTGCCTATGACAGCTGGGCACAAGTAAGATTTGGGACTTCAAACTCTTGGATTTGATGACACTTGGATTCAGAGGTGTTTTGCTTTAATTTTTTCCAGACAAGGTCTCACCACTTAACCCTGGCTGGCCGGGGGACTCAATATGTAACCCAGGCTGGCCTCCTCTAGATCATGATCCTCCTGCCTCATCTTTCACAGTGCCGGTATTACAGGATTGCTGTAATCGGTTTCTTTAAGAAAAGATTTTACCCGGGCATAGTGGCTGTACATCTTTAATGCCAGCACTCAGGAGGCAGAAGCAGCAGGATCTCTGAGTAAATCTGATCTACAGAGGAAATTCCAGGACAGCCATCTCAAAAACAAAACAAAACAAAACAAAAATTATTTTATATGTATAGGTGTGCTTTCTGCACCATGTGGATGACTGGAGCCCCAGACGCCAGAATATAGTGTTGGATGAGTTATAGATGGTTTGTGAGCTGCCATGTGGGTGCTGGGAATAGAATTCGAGTTCTCCGGGAAAATAGCCAGGGCTCTCTTAATCCTAAACCATCTCTCCAGTCCCCGTCCCTCCCCCCTTTCGGGGTGTCCCCCCCCCCGCCACAAATTCGCAATCCTCCCACCCCAGCCTCCTGAGTGCAGAGTGGCAGGTGCGCACCATCATGAACCCGGTTTCTGCTGAGGGTCCCTTTCTGAGAGCCAAGCAGCCCTACCCGCATCCCGTGGCCTCTGTTTCCCAAACCCAACCAGGCCCTCACCAGCCGCCGAAACAGGCGCTGCAATTGCGCTGCATCCTCGCGGAGCCTCCCGGCCACCCGGCCGCGGGTCCTCGCAGAGCGACAGCGCAGGCGTCCGCGCAGCAGTGGCCGCACGTACTCCACCAGCGCCCGGCGGTGCAGTTCGGCCACCAGCACCTGGGGAACAGGGTTAGAACAGAAAACTCTCTGGGTCGCTCCAACCCAGCAGGTTCACGAAGGACCCCGGTTGGTTCTGCTCTCTGTGCACCCAGGCAGGGGCACTCAAGGCACCCGATGGGAACCCGCCCCTTCCACAGCCAGGCCCTCTCCCTCCGGGTTCCCTTATCCCATCAGACCCTTAATCTGATAAGACACGCCGTCACTCGCTCTCAAGCGTGCCCTCAGGTTCCCCCCCCCCAACCTGGCCCCGCATCCTAGTTCCCAGGGGGAACGTCTCCCATCTGCAGGCCCCGACACCCCACTGGCAGGAGAGCGCTCTGGCATCTCCATCCTCAGGTCAATGCACCTGGTAAGGCTCATCCTGCATTCTGCGCAGGGCCAGGGCCTGGGCGCCGAGTGTGCCCACGATGCCATCCAGAGCCTCAGAGCTGCTCAGCCACTTCCTGCGCATCAACTTGTTGAAGTGCGGCTGTGTAGGACAGTGAGGGAGGGTTAGTCTCCTCCCTCCACCCTCCCACACCTCTCTTAGGGAAACCTTTTCATCCTTTAGATGCTCACTGTAGGGCCGGCCTCCGTCTCCCAAGCACTGGGGTTACAGGTGTGGGCTAACTCTCCGGGGCTGGGAATACTTCATTTAAACTCTCCCCAAGGGAAGAATAAAGACTGTGTGGCGATTGAGGACATATCGGGTAGCCTTGCTGGGACACATAGACTGCCAGCAGTGTCAAGCGCTGACACGCCTTTAATCCCAGCACTCAGGAGGCAGAGGCAGGCGGATCTCTGTGATTTTGAGGCCAGCCTGGTCTACAGAGCGAGTTTCAGGACAGCTCAGAGACCTGCTCTAGCCCCTACCACCGTCCCAAAGGTGAAATGCTTTTCAGAAGCAAAGAAGGAATTATAGCAACATCACACACAATCTGAGGGCCATGCTGCTTATTTCCTGTGCTCTTTATTGTTCTGATTCTACTCTAATAATCCTGTACTACTTCTAACTTCTCTATGATTCTCTTCTTCTAGTTTCTTCTATTCTAAAAACTCTTCTCCTGCAGGAGCTTTGAAGGGACAAAGAAATTTCTCTCAGTGGTCAAAAGCACATTCCTAGTGCAATCTATAAGGAGCTGAGCCATTTACCACAGCAACACAAGGATCCAAGGCCATAGGAGAAAAACCATGACCAGACAGGGAGGGCACAGTGCCCAGTAACAACTTTAAGACGCAGATCTACTGTTAGTAGACTGGCAAGTGGAGAACAGGCATGCTTTAAGGTTAATGTGAGGTCAGCGTGGGTTAGCACTTTCCTATCTGTTGGCAGAGAGAATCTGGGACACTCTTGTTCTCTATCTGAGAACTATGGTCAACTACTTCAGATATGCTGTAATTCTTGTCCTTGGGCATCTGTGAACGTCTCGGTTGAGGTCTCTTTGCCTGGACACTAACAATGACCAGCTGTCTGCCAAGGAAGATAACTGCAGAGGGGCAGACTTCTAAGTTTACACAAAGACTTGCTTGAGAGAGCAAGGGTATTGACTGAGATTGCTTTCTTCCCAGAATCATGAACTGCTGGGGGGAGTCATCCAATATACCAATACCCAGGGCAAGACGTGCCCAGTAATACAGTGCTGGAGTTTATAGGAAGACCCCCACCATAGGAAGGGAGCCCTATGGCTTCACAGGGAAATTACAGTAAGGACAGCGACTATTCATAATGCAAGTACTCCCACCGCCCTGCACCTGGTCCTCCATCGGAGCTCACGCTGCATAGTTCTGTGGTCCATAGCAGACAGCCAGGACTGTTATACAGAGAAACAAAACAAAATGGCTTCCTGGAGAGGGAAATCCACCCTCTGGCAGATAGGTGAGTGATGAGGGAGGGCTGAGCACCCGCAAGGTGCAGAATTCGGATGACAATGAGCTTGTGAGAACCTGGATGGAGATCAGTGTGCCTAGAGGGGCCGTTTGTGTCACCTTCAGGGATCGATGCAAAATGAAAACTGGCAACCCATAGCTGGCTGTGGCGCACACGCCGTTAGTCCTGGTACTCCAGGAGGGTCTCTGAATTCCAGGCCAGCCTGGTCTACACAGACATAGCGGAAGATTCACCCCAGCCCCTGCATCCACATACCCTAAGATTCTGGGACGTTATGGAGGAAGTTCTACTCAAGCCCCCTCCCCATCTCCCTCCAAACCCTGCTGCACCTCAGAAAACCCAACAAATGATGGCCCCTCCCCCAGAGATGCTCAAGACCACTCCCACAGGGTATTTAAACTGCCCCCCCCCCAGAGAACAGACTGGAAGGCCACCTGAGAGCCTTGTAGCCATTAAATGTGGGCTTTTACTAATCTGGTTTGATTTGGTCCAATTTGGATTGCTGCATCGGCGGAGAGGCTTATCAGGGTGCAGAAACTTTTCAAAACCCTGTTTCAAAACAACAAAAACTGGGAACCCTCCTTCAAAAACTATTGTGACTTTCGCTTCTTTACCATCACAAGCATTGTGCTGCTTTTGTTTCTCTGTATTGCTTTGGAGCCTGTCCTGTTCTGCTGGGGTTTTTTCGTTTGTTTTGTTTTGTTTTTGTTGCCTTTTTTAAGGAAAAAAACTAAACAAAAACAAAAAAATATAGTTTGTTTATGGGTTTTTTTTGTTGTTGTTTGTTTTCCTGTAGCCCTGGCTGTCCTGAGCTCCCTCTGTAGACCAGGCTGGCCTCGAATTCAGAGATTGCCTCCCTCTGCCTCCCCAGTGCTGGGATTAAAGGTGTGTGCCACCACATCAGACTTCATCATCATTATTTATTATCAGTTCAATTGCTCCATCTCTGAGTAATAGCCTAATCATGTTCAGGCGGAGTCCCATGTACCCCAGGCTAACCCCCAGCTCTTATGTAGCTGAGGATGCCCTGAGGTTTCTGACCCTCCTACCTCCACCTCCCATGAGCTAGGATCATCGGCGGATACCACCATAACCAGTTGCACTGACTGAGCATTTACAGCGGTCTGCCTGGCCCATGCGCCCCCTTTCTGTTGACCTCCATGTGACCCCATGCCAGTTGTGCCTCCCAAACGCTCGCTCTTCCAGCTTTCTCGGACCTCCCGGTGCTTCTGATTTTGTGGGGACTCATGCCTGGAAGCTTGGTATTGGGAGGAGGCCAGCCTGGGCTACATAGTGAGTTCCTCCAGGACCCCCGTGTTAGCTCTGAACTCCTAGGCTCAAGGGATTCTCCTGCCTCAGCGTTCCTAGGCACTGGAAGAACAGGTGTGCTGTCACACCCAGCTGTCTGGGTTGAGTCACTGTCCAGTTGAATCTTACTTATTTGTTTGTTTGTTTGTTTGTTTTTGTGAGGCAGGGTGTCACTCTGTGACTCTGGCTGCCCTGGAACTCACTTTGTAGACTAGCCTGGACTCAAACTTCCTCCACAGCTGGCTGGCCAAAGGCACTATATTTTTAAAGAATATTTTATTTATTTATTTTTATGTGCATATTTGTGTGTGTGAGGGTGTTGGATTCCCGGGAATTGGAGAGATGCCATGTGGGTGCTGGGAATTTAATCTGGATCCTATGGAAAAGCAGCCAGGGCTCCTAACCGCTGAGCCATCTCTCCAGCCCAAGGTACTACATTTTAAGTGGAATAATCAAGGAACATCTCCCTAAGAATGAAAGAAATCGGATGTGGTGGCGCATGCCTTTAATCCCAGGCAGTCAGATCTCTGTGAGTTCAAGGCCAGCCTGGTCTACAGAACGAGTTCAACGACAGCCAGGGAGACACAGAGAAACCCCTATCTCAAAAAAACAAAACAAAACAAAACAAACAAACAAATAAAAAGATTTGTAAGAAGCAAGGAGGGCAAGCCACAGGGTTATCGGAGGAGGAGCATCGGAGCGGAGGGAACTGCAAGACCCATGTCAGGAAAGCGGAAAGGACTCAGAGGTGGGAGGGTATGAGATCTCACTCAGAATAGCTGACTCGGGGTCCTGGGCGGCACAGCAAGGCCTCTGGCTTTTTCTATCAAGGATCGGGGAGCCCAGGATGATTTCTGAGCAGGGAAAGGGAACATAGGGTCCCTTTATACTGCTACTGAATGGCTTTTCGCCTCCCTGCAGTCCACGCAGGACCTAACCCACTTATTACCTCACCCCCTCGCGGCATTTAAAGAGGCCCGCGAGAGCTGGAAGGGGCGCGGGGCATAGCGAGGCATGGCTTTGGGGAAAGAACTGCATAAGCCATCTCTTGCTGGCAGCTCTCTGGCCATCCCACTGGGCTACACCCTCCTCTTCCTTCCTATGCCCCCCTTTCTCCCCTCAAACAGTCCCAACACGGCACTCACCCCCAGCCCTGCTGTTTCCCTGAACACTGAGTCATGCGTTAGAAGGTGTGGGGGGCGATGCCAATCCACCCTGGCACAGCCCCACGCCAGTCCCGTCTCACTCACCTGTAGTTCCTGGAATAACAATTCAGCGAGGACACGATGGCAGAGCCGGGTCACGCGGTCCAGAGCGATGGCTGACGCTTCCCGGGCCGGCTCACTTTCGGGGGGCCCCACCCTGGCCAGTCGCTCAGCCAGAGACCTATGAGGATCAATGGGACTCAGAGTCTGGGCCTCCCGGCATCTAATGCCCTCGCCAGGACCAGCTGGGTCAGATCTGCGATCCCAGTGGGAGGAAGCTGAGGCAGAGGGGTGTAAAGTTCAGGGCCAGCCGGGGCTACAGAGTGAATTTAAGACTAGCTTTGGCTGGGCATTGGTGGCGCACGCTTTTAATCCCAGCACTTGGGAGGCAGAGTCAGGCGGATCTCTGTGAGTACGAAGCCAGCCTGGTCTACAGAGTGAGTTCCAGGACAGGCTCCAGAGCTACAGAGAAACCCTGTCTCCTAACACAAAAACAAAAATAAAGACTAGCTTTGATTGGGGCTGGAGAGATGGCTCAGTGGTGAAGAGGGACCCAGGTTCAGTTCCCAGCACCCACATGGCAGCTCAAAACCATATCACAACTCTAGTTCCATGGGAGCTCACACCCTGTTCTGACCTCATGTGCAAACACGCACGCGCTCGCGCACACACACAACAGAATAAAATAAATCTCGTTTTTAAAGGACAGAAACAGAGCAAGGCGGGCAGTGGTGGCGTACGCTTTAATCCCAGGACTCTGGAGGCAGAGGCAGGTGGATCTGTGTGGGTTCAAGGCCAGCCTGGTCTACAGTATGAGTTCCAGGACAGCCAGGGCTGTTACACAGAGAAACCCTGACTCAGAAAAACAAAAATGAAAAGAAAGGTTTCTTTGCATGCACACGTGTGTGGGGCCGGCCACAGGTGAGAATCAGGTGTCTTCATTAATTGTCTAAATTCTATTTTTTCACGTGTATAGTGTTTTGTCAACATGTATATCAGTGTCTGGTGCCTTTGGAGGCCAGATCTCCTGGAGCTGGAGTTACACACAGAAAGTGGGTGCTGGGAGCTGAACCTTAGTTGCATAGAAGAAAAGTCAGTGTTCTTAACCACTGAGCCATCTATCAGGCCTCCAGCTTATTTTTTGAGGATACAGTTTCACTTTGCTCGGCATTTACAATGGCTGCTGGGGATCCAAACTCAGGCCTTCCTTCTCGGAGTATAGCTGCTATATTTCTCTAATTCTAACACATCAATATTCCCTTTAGATGGATGGATGCTGCATTCTGGACAGGCGTGGGTCACCATTACCCCCCATCCCCAAGATGCGACGACGCTAAAGTTCCAAACCTACTTCCTCAGGTCACCCAAGACTCCCACCCACTGTCCCTACGGGCGTTCTCACCGCAGAGGGGGTCCACAGTTGACTAGCGAAATGGTCCTGCTGATGTAGGTCTCAGAGGGCAGTTCTCGGATCCCTGGGCTCTCGTGGAATCGCTCCACCCGCTGCTGGAAACTGATACCAGAGGAGACAATGGCCACAACAGATGGCACATACTGCTGGGTCAAAGTCCCATGGCAGACACACAGCCAATAAATTTAAACACATCCTGCTCAGCCGGGCAGTGGTGGCGCACGCCTTTAATCCCAGCACTCGGGAGGCAGAGGCAGGCGGATCTCTGTGAGTTCAAGGCCAGCTTGGTCTACAGAGTGAGTTCCAGGACAGGACAAAAAACCAAACAAACAAACAAAAAAGCCAGATCCTGCCCGACAGCATCTCTGACCCTCCTTTCCTTATTTTCAACCACCCACTGCAAATGCTGGAGATTGAACCCAAAACTCTTAGGTGTTAGGTAACCCTTTTAGGACCGAGCCCCTCTCTGGGGGATTCTAGGCTAGTCTTCTATTGATGAGCCTTGCCTCCAGGATTATTGTTGCCTTTCTTTTCTTTCTAAAGATTAACTTCATTTTTAATTGTGCAAATTCACACGTCTCTGTGCACATGCGTTCTGGTGCTTGGCGAGACCATAGATATTGGATCCCTCTGGGGAGGTGTTACAAACGGTTGCGAGCTATCTCACATGGGAACTCATGCTCAGTGCCCACTTTTCACCAGCCCTCCTGCTGATGTTCATCCTGGGGGCCAGGCTCAGTGTAGACCGGACCTGGCGGTCAGCTCCCCGAGTCCTGCCCTCTCCCGCCCCTTACCCTTACCTCTGCAGGAACTCCGCCAGCCCTCCCAGACAGCAGTGTGCCATTCTCTCCACGAACTCCTGACTGATGTGGGGTGCTCTCTCTGTGTGCTCTTCCAGCAGCTGTGCGGAGCATGAGGAGGAGAGACTCGGTGTGTGAGGGGGAGGTATCCAGCCCCCCCTCCCCCGCATGCTCCAGGCTATCCCCTTCCTCCTGCTACCTCACAAACATCTTGGGCCAGGTTGCTGGGTCTGTAGTCCATGCTTCCCCAGTGTTCCTCATCTTCCTGCAGTACTCGAAGGAGGGCTGCTCGGGTCTGAGCCTGCAACAGGGGGATGGACCGGCAGAAGTCAGGCGCAGCCTGGGACTTGCTTTCCCAGAAGTTCTGGGCTCAACCCAGAGTCTCCAAGGTCAAGGTAGATGCTTGGGAAGAAAAGCTGGCCAGAGCCCTCCCCTTCCCCTCCTTTCTTGCCTGCAGTCTGGGATTTAACGTTAAAACCATAAACCATATGGGAGTTTGTAGTTTTTGAAAGATATGTAAGGCAGGTGGTGGTGGTGGTGGTGCACACCTTTACTCTTAGCCTGGTCCAGAGGAGGGAGAGGTGTGTGTGTGTGTGTGTGTGTGTGTGTGTGTGTGTGTGTGTGAACACAGGTGCCCACAGTAGCTAGAAGGTGTCAGGTTTCACTGGAGCTGGAATTACAGGTGGCTATGGCTGCCTGCCTGGTGTGGGCCCTCGAAACTAAACTCAAGCTGTACTTAGATGCTGAGCCACCTCTCCAGCTCCAACACTGTATATACATGTTTTGTTTGTTTGTTTTTTGAGACAGGGTTTCTCCATGTAGCCCTGGCTGTCCTGGAACTAGTTCTGTAGACCAGGCTAGCCTTGAACTCAGAGTTCCATCTGCCTCTGCCTGCTGAGTGCAGGAATTAAAGGGGTGCATAACCATGTCTGACTACACCTTGTATTTTTAGACTTTATGTAACAGCCAAAGGGGTTAAAAGGTGTACATGTCACTGTTTGAGGCTGGTGAGGCTCTGCTATTGGTTTAGTTTAAAATGCTCACATTTGGGCTGGGAAAGTATGGTAGAGCCCTGACCTCACATGGAGAAGGCTCTAGATTATTCAAGGCACTGTTCACAGAAAGAGACACACCCAAGAGTCCTGAATTCTGATTCAAGAATGCCAAAGGCTAAAGGATAGCTGATTTACTTCAGTGGTGGAGGCCCTGCCTAGAATCCCCCAGTGAGGGGCTGGGGGCGTGGCTCAGTGGTAGAGCCCCTGCCTAGAATCCCCCAGTGAGGGGCTGGGGTGTGGCTCAGTGGTAGAGCCCCTGCCTAGAATCCCCCAGTGAGGGGCTGGAGTGTGGCACAGCGGTAGAGCCCCTGCCTAGGATCCCCCAGTGAGGGGCTGGGGGCGTGGCTCAGTGGTAGAGCCCCTGCCTAGAATCCCCCAGTGAGGGGCTGGGGGTGTGGCTCAGTGGTAGAGCCCCTGCCTGGAATCCCCCAGTGAGGGGCTGGGGGCGTGGCTCAGTGGTAGAGCCCCTGCCTAGAATCCCCCAGTGAGGGGCTGGGGTGTGGCTCAGTGGTAGAGCCCCTGCCTAGAATCCCCCAGTGAGGGGCTGGGGGTGTGGCTCAGTGGTGGAGCCCCTGCCTAGAATCCCCCAGTGAGGGGCTGGGGGCGTGGCTCAGTGGTAGAGCCCCTGCCTAGAATCCCCCAGTGAGGGGTAGAACACTATCAAAGGGCCCCTATTCCATCACAGCAATATGGGGTGGGCACAAAAAGAACTCTAGAGTCTTGCCTATCTACTTCCCTAGTGTGCTCAATTCAGTAAGTGAGAGTAGCTTGACTTCTCTGATTCCATTAGACCCATCGTTAACTGCTTGTTTTTGTTTTGTTTTGTGTTTTTGATGGCTTGGAACTCCCTACGTAGACCAGGAACTCATCCACCTGCCCCTGCTTTTCGAGGGCTAGGATTAAAGATGTGCACCCCCAGTCTTGGCCATCCGTTGCTGTTGCTCCTCAGATGTGTGAGCATGCTGACAAGAAGTTTAACTGCTGAGCTGCTTTGAGCAATGGGGACCTTGCAGTGAGACCCGGGGACCGGGGTGTGAAGCTATCAAACCTCTGTGTGTTGTGGGTATGCTTGGGAGGCGACATAAAATGTAAAATGGTTAGGCATGGTGGCTGTAATCTCAACAATGACAACTATGAGTCATAGAGCGAGACTCTGAGTCAAAAGAAAAAAGTTAAGAATAAAGAAAGAAAGCCAGGCGTGGTGGCTCACGCCTTTAGTCCCAGCAATCGGCGGGAGGCAGAGGCAGGCGGATCTTTCTCTGGGTTTCAGGCCAGCCTGGTCTACACAGTAAGTTCCAGGCCAGCCAAAGATAAGCAGAGAAACCCTGTCTGGAAAACAAACAAGGAATAAAGAGGGAAAGAGGTGGAGGAGGATGGGCAGAAGGGAGGAAAAGAGGAAGGAAGCAAAGTCTACTACAGATGTGCATGGCAATGGTCTTTGGGCAGAACTCAGGTCACCACAGGAAAAGGGAAATGGAAACTGAGTCGGGGAGGCCAGCCTGCCAAACCCCTTGTGATCTCCAGAGTCTGTCCCCACCCCAAGTGGCCAAGTCCTAGGTACCTTCACGTCTGTGACACATTCATCTTCCAAACCACGCAGGGTGCCAGCAGACAGAAGGGGCCCCAGCTCTCCGTTCTCCAAGGCGACCACGTCCACCAGGCCCAGGATCTCCCTGGGATGGGGAAACGAGAGACAGAAAGGTCTGTAGGAGATGGGGCTGAGCCCCGGGGCCCTCCACGTGTCCCCACAACCGCGGTGTCGGCGACCCTGACCCACACCCTTCCTCTCTCGGGCAGCCTTTCTCATCTCTCAAAGGAAGTGTTGAGAATTATGTTTCCCTTGGCTCCGGTACTCTGAGTCAGCTCTCCTGATGGATGGTGTCCGGGCAAGACTTAGCTGTCAAGTTCAGGCTTGATGAGCCGACTGCAGCTTCGCGGGGGCGGAGGCGCCCTTGTGCTTCTAACCTTAAGAGCTTCACCTCACCTGGCTCAGGGGCCTTTCCCACCCCGCTCCACACTCGCCCCTCCCAGGCGAGCTTGTAACAGCATCATCATTGTTTATCCCGGCACCTCCCATCACCCACCCCCACAAGATTTTTCCTTATGGGATCTGCTTGGTCAAAAATGCCATCTTCCTCTGATTCAGACTTAGCCCGTGTCTTATCGCTTGGAGGAGCTTTCCGGACCTACATCCTGCCTCTACCTGTCATGGATTGTCTGAGACCTCACTGACATGAATTCCAATGGCTCCTGCCTTCCTATTCTTTTGATGAGAGCGTTCTGACCTTTTAAATATTTTTAGGGACTGTGCAGCCCGGGCTAGCCTGCAACTCACTATATAGCCCAGGCTCACTCTGGACTCCTGACCTTCTTACTTCTGCCTTCCAGTTGCTTGAACGCACAAATGCTCACGACTACGCTGTCCCCAGGGCCCTCGTTTTGCTGTAACCCTTCATTCTCTGATGTGTGATTTGGAGGTAGTTAACTTATTTCCTTCCAGAGAGGGCATGGTACACAACCCAATGGAGTTACCCCATATCACACCCTCCAGCACCCCCCCCCAATGTAGTCCATTTGGGGATTCAGAGGCTCAATACAAATAAGGCTCTAGAAGTAGGAGGAAGGGCTGGCGGTGCTGAGGTTCGCAAAGCTATAACAGAGCTCAACAGTGACAGATTCCAACAATCCAAAGGGAGTAGGACAAAGGGTGACACGCTTTAGTGCTAACACGATAGGATGGGAGAGTTATAAATCTACCAAACCTTAAAAAAAAAAATGCGTCTGCTAGGGGAGGCCTTACTTTCTCTGAGGATCAGGTGGGAGGTGGGGGGAGGGGAGTGGGAACTGAGATTGGAATGTAAAAAATAAATTTAAAAGAAGAATAAATAAGGTGAAACACTGGAAAATGGGAAGAAGAAGGAGGAGGAGGAGGAGGAGGAGGAGGAGGAGGAGAAGAAGAAGAAGAAAGAACTGGTCCAGGCGGTGGCGCACATCTTTAGTCCCAGCATCTGGGAGGCAGAGGCAGGGGGATCTCTGTGTGTTCCAAAGCTACACAGAGAAACCCTGTCTCAAAAACCAAAACAACAACATCATCAACAACAAAAATCTGCCTAGCAGGCTTGTCTCCCTAGATACTTGGAAGGTTGAGGGGGGGAAATTGGAAGCTCAAGGTTTGCCTGATATGGAGAGGAAGTTCGACTCTAACCTGGGGTATAGACTAAGACCCATCTCAACTTGAGAAGATAAAAGGGGCTGAGGCTGTAGCTCAGTGCAGACTGCTTGTCTAGGATGTGAGAACATGCAAGGCCAGGGATTTAATTCCCAGAAGGAGAGAGGCAGGCAGGCAGACAGACAGACAGAAAGAGAGAGAGAGAAACAGAGAACTGTTTTGTCTATTTTGTTTTGTTTTGAGATCTGGTTTCCTTGTGTAGCCTTGACTGTCCTGGAACTCTCTCTGTAGACCAGGCTGGCCTCAGACTCACAGAGATCCACCTGCCTCTGCTACCCAAGAGCTACTGTTTTTTAAAACTACTGCATGTATGCATGATCAAAAGGGGCAAGAAGCCATCATGTGCATGTGGAGGCCAGGAGATTGGAGTCTGTTCTTTCCTTCTACGCTGCCATGAATGAGTCCCAGGGTTCCCCCTCATGCCACCAGGCGTGGATGGCAAGTCATTTACCCCTGAGGCATCTCACTGGCCCCGTACAATTTTATTTTCTTTTATTTGAGACAGGGTATTTCTATAGCCCTGGCTGTCCTAGAACTCACTCTGTAGACCAGGATATTCTGGAACTCACAAAGATTCCCCTGCCTCTGCCTCCCTAGTGTTGGGAATTCAGGCGTGGGCTATCACACCCCACTGCTTTCTGGAATTCTCTCAGACAGAGATTCACAATGCTAAAATCCTGGGGCTGGAAGGGAGGACAGACAGACAGTCTGGTTCATGCTATGAATAGTTCAGCATTTACCAGAAGGATCTGTAGCACTGAGCCACTAGGACTGCTGTAGATTACAATGTTGAGAAGTCAGAATGAGAATGCTTGACGATGTTTCAGCCCTGGAGGGACTGAAGTGCTAAGATTTCCAGTCTCCAAGAGGCAAGCAGGGCGTTGCTATGTACAGTGGCCTCAGGATGATGTGCTCAATCAAAGGGAACGAAGAAGGGCCAGCACGAGGGCCCCAAGGCCATCAGCGCTGAGTTCACAGAGGCTCTGAGACAGGAACAATCGACGAAGCTGGTGGACGGGTGGACATGAGCGATACGAGGTCTGGAAGGGTCAATGTCATTGGTGGTTCTACATTTGCTAAGCTCTAATATAATATGTCAACATTCAACTATCAACTCGACAAGACCTGATCTCAGGGAGAGCCTTTAACTATGGGACTTTCAGATCAGGCTGTGTGGGAATGTCTTGATAGTTGACTGACACCGGAGGGCACAGCCCACCGTGGGTGGTCCCATTCCCTGGGCAGGTAGGCCTGAGCTGAGATGCCTGCCCAGCCAGCCAGGCAGCAGTATTCTTCCACGATTTCTGCTGCATTCCTTGGCTGTGAGTTCCTTGGTCCTACCTAGGTCATTCTCTGGGTGGGACAGCTAGCCAGCCTGCCTTGAGTTTCTGCTTGAGTCCCTGCCCTGATGGCCCTCTGTGAGGGACAGCGAGGACTGTGGCCTGCCTGCTGGATGAATCCTTTCCTCCCACAAGTTGCTTTTTGGTCAGAGTGTAATTTTTTTTTTTTTTATCACAACAAAAAGGAATGAATGAATAAGGGAGGTAGAGGAGGATCGGAAGGTGAGCTTTGCAAGGTGTCAGCTCTGCAGCAAAAAAGAAGAAAGGGAAAAAAGCTGGGTGGGGCGGTGCTTGTTTTACTCCTAGCTCTCAAGAGACAGAGGCAAGCGGATCTCTGAGTCCAAGGCCAGACTGGTTTACAGAGCGGGACCCTGTCTCAAAAAATGTTCAAGCTAGCCTGGGCTACATGAGACGCTCCGCCTAAATCCAATACTTCAAACAAGGTGTCTGGGGTAACGTGCGCACGGCCCGGGGCGCCCCAGGCTCACCTGGGGTACACCTGATGGTGCCAATGCAGCAGGGCGTAGCGATCGGCCAGCGGGAGCCTGCGGCGCGCGGCCGCCCCGAGCCACTCGGCCAGCGCCTCGTGGTAGCCGCGCAGGTAGACGGCGCCGGCGCGCAGCCCCGCGGGGTAGGCGGGCGCCAGGCGACCGCGCACGGCGGCCACGTCCTCCAGCAGGCGAGCGCGCAGTGCCTCCAGCTGCCCAGCCAGCGCCCCGCGCGCGCCCGGCGCCGCCGCCTCCTCCAGCCGCTCCCGCGCCGCGCGCGCCACCGCCTCGGCCCAGCGCGCGCGCAGCTTGCGCGCCGCCCCGGGGCCGCGCCGCGCGTCCGCCGCCTCCTCCTGCTGCAGCACGCGGCCGAGCTGCGCCACCGCGCCCGCGCCGGGGCCCGGGGCCGCCAGCGCCTCGCGCACCAGCGCCCAGAGCTCGCGCTGCAGCGCCTCGTACAGCAGCGCCACGTCCCGCGCGCGCCGGCCCGCGCCAGCCTCGGCCTCCGCCGGCGCCTCCGCCTCCAGCTCCAGGATGTGCTCGTCCGCCCGCGCCAGCTCGCGCTTCTGGATCAGGCCCAGGATCTCTAGCACTGTTGGAGGGGTTCGGGTGGAGGTGGGGGGGGAGAGAGAGGGTATCAGGAAGCGGGGCGGGTGCCCCAGGACCCGCAGAAATGACCGAGTCGCTGCGGGGGTGGTGGTGGTGGTGAGGAGACACCCAAAATGAGAGGGCGGCCATGTGGAGAGGGTGTCAGGGCTCGGGGTGGGGGCCACTAGTTCTCTCCAAAATGAGAGAGCGAGTGTGATTGTCAACCCTGGTGACATTCGCCCTAAGATCAGCGATTGCGCTCAGGAGAGCAGCCTGGGCCACTTGTGGGAACTTGTCACAAAACAAAAACTAACAACAAACCAAGGGTGAGATGGCTCGTGGTTTGCAGTGCTGCCTGCGGCTAAGTTTGACGACCCGAGTTCTAACCCCAGGACCCACATGGTGGAACTGATTTCTGCAAATTATTCTCTGTCCTCCACACATACATGCACACAGGCAAGAGAGAGACAGACAGACAAGGAGGGAGGGAGGGAGAGAGAGAGAGAGAGGAAGAGAGAGAGAAAGAGAGGGAGAGAGAAAAAGAGGGAGAGAGAGAGGGGAGAGAGAGAGAGGAGGGAGAGAGAGGAGAGAGAGAGAGAGGGAGGGGAGAGAGAGAGAGAGGAGGGAGAGAGAGAGAGAGAGAGGGGACAGAGGGAGAGAGAGAGAGGAGAGATAGAGGGGAGAGAGAGAGAGGAGGGAGAGAGAGAGAGGGGACAGAGGGAGAGAGAGAGAGGAGAGAGAGAGAGGGGAGAGAGAGAGAGAGGAGAGAGGTTGCCTGAAATCCCAACACTAGGGGATGGATCCAGGACGATAAAGTGTTCAAGGTCTCCGGGCTGGAGAGGGGATCTGATCCCCTCTTCTGGCTCCTCAAGCACACGTGAAATGCACAGAAATACATACAAAGCACATACATGTAAAACAATATTATTTTTTTAAAAAAAGATTTCAAAGTCTGTCATAGCTACATAGCAAGTCTGAGGCCATTTCTGAGATACACGAGTCTCTGTCTCAAAAAAATAAATAAGGTCGGCAATGAGTCCCCAGAAAGGGCCAAGATGAGGGAAGGAGTTAGGGGGGTAGAGGTTGGCATGGAAGACGGACGACTGGGCCAGGAGCTTAGGAGATGAACCTGTCTGTGGGGCAGAGGCAACGAGACCCAGGTGACCCAGAGAAGCCGGGTGGCCTCACATCGGTCACCCTTGCACTTGGGAGGCTGAGGCAGGAGGATTGCCTTGGGTTCCAGGCTATCCCGGGCTATGCTCTGAGCTCCAGGAATGTGATGAGGAAGGAAGCAGGAGTTGAGAGAGTTAGGGGGAGGGGCTGGTGAAGAAGGGAAGAGTTAGAGAGAGGTAAGGCAAGGATGGATGGGTGAGTGTTCAGGTACAACTTCCTTAGAGAAGGGAAAACACGCAGGGTTTGGAGGAAGGGGCTGGGACGGAGAGGAGCGTCTGAGGCGCGGCTTGTGGGGGTCAGAGATGTGCTCAGAGCCAGGTAAGTAATGGATGGAGATAGCCATAGGAGGGGGAAGGGGCGGGCGGGACAGGGGTAGTTGTAGAGAGCATAACTGGCGTGTTTGGGGGTAGGATGGCTGTGTGGGTAAGGCCACACTCTACGAAGATGGGAGCCACTGTGGAAAGGGGAGTCGCAGGTTTGAGAGGCCTTAAGTCGAGGCCAAGGGGGAGGAGGGTCCCGTTGGCCAAGAGTTACCCTCAACACCTCCCCCCCTCCCCGCTTCCTCCCTGGCAGAGAAGCTATTTCCTGAGCGGCGCTATTTCTGCCCATCCGTTTCCAGAAGGGGGGGTTCCAGTCACCCCCTCCTCACCTCTCTGCAGTGTGCCCTCCCAGTCCCCAGGGAGACAGAGCTGAAATAGCCTCTGTCCAGGATGTGGAGGGCATCAGAGGACAGAAGAGACTCCAGGAAGGTCCCCCGACTCCGAAGCACGAAGTGGGCGTGGCCCAGGGCTGAGGAGGAGGACCGAGTCTGGAGGAGGCTGGCAAGAAGGCACAGTGAGGTGGAGGGCATTTTAGCTTCAGAGTGAGCTTGGCATTGGGATTTGCAGATTGAACAAGAAAGCCAGGCAGGATGAGGCAGACGCAATCCTGTCTATTGGGGAAGCTGAGGCAGAAAGATACTTCAAGACTAGCTTGGGCTACTTTGCAGACTTGTCTCAAGATGAGAAAGAGGCCAACTGTGTGGTGCACGCCTGTAATCCCAGCACTCAGGAGGCAGAGGCAGGGGATTACCCTTGAGTTGGAAGTCAGCCCCATTCACACAGTTCCAGGCCAGCCAGGGCTGCACATTGAGACCTTCCCAAAACCCACACTGGGTCTGGAGAGACCACTGGAAGAACCGGAGGACCCAGGTTCAGTTCCAAGCACCCACGGTGGCTCAACCCAGTTCCAGGGGATCCAGTGCCCTCTTCTGGCTTCTGGGGGCACTGCACACACATGGGGCACATACATACATGTAGGCAAGCTCATAAAATAGCAATAATAAAACAAAAATCTCCAAATACAAAAGGGTAGAAAGCCATGGGTTCAATCCCCTGTCCCAAAAGAGGAAAGGAAAATAATTGAATTTGCCCATTTATATTTTTGCTTGTGAACCTAGCCTTTAATGATCGAGCCATCTCTCCAGCTTCTGTGTATTCGTTATTATTGTTTGCATATGTGTGTATGATGGGACGGGTGAGCACATATGTCCTGATGCATTTATGGGGGTCAGAGGGCAACTTAGCAGAGTTGCTGCTCCCTTTCATCTTTCCCTGGGTTCTGGGGATGGAGTTCGTTCAGGTTTCCAAGCTAGGCTGCCTCACAGGTCCGGGACCTGAGGACAGCATGATAATGCGTCAGGAAAAAAGTGACAATGGCGATGCACTGTGCCATGGCATGGGTTTGAGGATGGAGATTGGTTGTATTATGCGTTGGCTGTGTCCCCTCAACTAAGATGTGGCTTCTAGTCTTTCCGTATTCCGAATGTGACCTCAGTTACATACAACCTATGTGCCCATCTTCCTAGATGGCATTGGTCCTAAGCCAGAGACTGTTGTTTGTAAGAACAGAAAAGCGAGGGTAGGAATGATGCTCAGCAGATACACACTGGTAACCAAGCCTGAAAAACTGAGTTTGAGCCCCTGGATCCACACAGTGGAAGGAGAGAACTCACACACACACACACACCCCACAGACACATTACACACACACCACGTGCGCACGCACACACACATGCACACACACATGCTCACTTGCACATAAGTCATAGGAAAACTCTTAAGGACTTAATTCCCTCTGTCTACCTTTATGTGGGTTCCAAGGATCCAACCCAAGTTGCCAGGCTTGTGCAGCAAGCACCCTAACACACTGAGCCATCTTGCTGACCCAAAGACGGACTTTTGGAGGGAAGGAAGGATGGTTGGATGGTTGGGTGCATAGGCTGTGTGACTTGAGATTGTGTCACAGATGGTGGTTGGCATGAGATTAGGTAGAAAGGCTGGGAACCCCACCTCCAGGGTCCCATTCGCTCACCCGACAGTGGTTCCTTCATCTTTGGGGGCTCCTGGACTTTGGGTGGGGGCTCAGGGGCCGCCTCACCTGCAGGTACCACTCTCTCCGCCAAGGATGCCCGTCGGGGCTTGGGTCCACGCCCGAGTCTCAGGAAGGCCAGTCTTCGAGCAGTCTCTCCAGCTGGCTCCTCATCGCCATGGGTTCGGAACCCTTGAAGCCGGGTCAGGAGGCCAAAATCGGCTGAGCTCCTTCGTATGCCCGGTGCCAGCACGCGGCCCAAAAAGGAGCGGCCTTGCCCGTCCCCAGGGCTGCCTGCTCTCCGGCCCGAGGTCCAGCCCAGTCGGAAGTGGGCCAGACCCGCCAGCTTCTCCAGCGTGGCCCGCCGGCCGCACGACGTCCCATTGGGCAGTGTCCCAGACTGCCCTGTCTCTTCTTCCAGAGCTGGAGAGTCTTCAAAGGGGTTGCGAGAGGACCGCAGGGGCAGAGTCCCTGCCCGCGGCACCTTAGGGTCTCCCACCCCCAGGCTCTTGAGGATTGGCATTTTGACAGGCTGGCACCTGCAGAAAAATGATGACAAAGGTGGTGTTGGTGACCGCGTCTGTCCCTGTGTGCTGAGGACTTGGATTAGAAACGGCCAGGCACAGGTCTGGACGCTTAGAAGCCCCAAGTCAAGCTTACTCACACACCCGTAATCCCAGAATATGGGGCTGAGGCAGGAGAATTGAGGATTCCAGCCAAGCCAGGGGTGCCTAATGGCCACTGATTGCAGAACAGTGAAGACATAGTTGGGTGTGTCAGCGACCCTCGAAATCCCAGCACTGGGGAGGCAGAGGCAGGAGGATCAGGAGTTCAAAGCCAGTCTTGGCTACACTAAAGTTTTAGGGCAACTTGAACTAGACTACATGAAACACATTCTCTCTTTTCCCTCTCTCTTACACACACACTTTCTCTCTCTCATACACACACACACACACACACACAGAGAGAGAGAGAGAGAGAGAGAGAGAGAGAGCTGGCGCTATTAAGACAAAAGGGATGGATGTACTGACACATCCCTTTAACCCCAGCACTCTGGAGACAGAAACAGGAGGGTGGACGCCTCTTCAGCAGCATGGTCTACATACTGAGTTGCAGGACAGCAAGACTAGAGGAAACCCAGCCTCAAGACAGACAAACAAACAACGACTAGGAGCAAAACAAAACTGTAGCGGGGTGCGGCTCAGTGGTAGAGCCCCTGCCTAGAATTCCCCCCCTACCGCGTGAGGGCCTGGGCTCAGCGCTAGGGCTCCTGTCCAGTGTGCGCAAGGCTCTGGACGGGACACTCCACACTGTCAAAATGCAAGAAATTCACGAGGTCTTGGGAGCCACCCTTTGCAGACAGTGGGGACACAGCTGTGACACAGTCAGGCCAGGCCCTGCCCTCACAGGGTCACACTGTCCTGAGTCCTGTCCATCTCTAAGTCCCCCCCTCTGGTCCTTTATCCCTCCCTACACCCCCCTCACAGCTGGAACCTATGATCACTTCTTTGCCCCAGCTCAGGATTCTTTTCAGAAGGAATGACAGGCTGACCCAAAATTTGCTATGTAGCTTAGGATGGCCTCAAACTTGAGGTGATCCTCCTGCCTCAATCTCCTAGGCACGGCTACAGGCTTGAGCCACCACCACACCAACCTTATTTTAATTTTTGAGTCAGAAATCATGTAGCCCAGGTTGGCCTTGAACTCCCGATCCTCCTGGCTCCACTTCCTGGATTACAGTAGTGGGCCACCATGCACTTTCAGCTTCTTGGCCCTTGTAGCTCAGCTTTGAAGACTTTTACGTAGCGTGAACCTGAGCCTTCCTCTCCGGAACCTTCTATATCTCCCCAGAGCTGTTGGTTCGAAGTTCAGGCCCCTTATCATAGTCCCCGGGGTCTGTGAGCTGTACAGCTCCCTGGAGGTATTAAATCTCTGGTTCCTTTCTCTGGGCTTGCGTCTACGTGTCTCCCCACATGGAGTCAGGTCCCCATGCTTTAGATCTGTCTGCAGGCTGCCTCCTCCAGGAAGTACTCCGGGCCCTTGGGTCTCTTATAACCTCTGGGCTCCCTATGGTTCCCTCTGTGGTTGTCCCTGCCTGGGGACAGACAGGTCCCTGTCTGGTCTGAGAGCCCCGGGAGGGCAGGGCTGGGCCTGTGTCAATCATTTCTGCGTCCCTGGCTCAGAGCATGGGTCAGGCACTCTGGAATGGGTGCTAACAGGAAGCAAAGGAAGGAAAGAGGCAGAGGGTTCATTCCTTGGGGGGGAGGAGGTCATGAGGAGTAGGCCACACAGGACCTGAACTCTGTGACAAGGGACTTGGATTGTTTCCCGAGGGAACTGGTGAGCTACAGGAGGCATTTTAATTTTACCTTACTTTCAGCGTTGTGCATAGGACTCAGAGCCTGGTCAGTGTGGACCCCGGCTTCACCACTGAGATTCCTCAGCCCTGGGCCATCATTTGGCTTCATCCGCATCGTGTGTTTGTGAACATGGTCACCAGAGTGCCACAGCACTTATGAGGCAGTCCGTTCTGTCTTTCTAATGTGGGTCCCAGGGATCAAACTCAGGTCCCCAGGCTTGGCAGCACGTGCTTTACCAAGGCCCCTTGTTTTTTGTAAAATGTACACTTTAGGGTCAGCAAGATGGCAGGGGCAGTAGGATCTCTGTGAGCTTCAGGCCAGTTTGGTCTGTATAGAGGTCTATACAGTTCTAGCCAACCAGAACCTCACTATATAGACTCTGGCAAAAAGAGAGAGAGAGAGAGAGAGAGAGAGAAAGAAGATAATGTACTATCCCAACATGCATCAGGCATCAGTCCCTGGATTCTACCCCCCAGCACCAAAAAAAAAAAAAAAACCAAAACAAAACAAAAAACAAAAAACAAAACAAAACAAAATAAAAACCAAAAAAAAAAAAAAAAACAACCAAATAAATGAACTATTCCAAACATTTAAATCAATAGTCCAGCGTGATAGCCCACATGTGTAATCTCAGAGCTCAGGAGGCTGAGATGAGAGCGTCATCCTGAGTTCAAAACCAGCCTGGACCACATAGTGAGCTCCAGGGTAGCCTGGGATGCACAATGAGACCCTGTCTCACAAAACAGAGACTGGGGGCTGCAGGGTCGGCTCAGTGGTTGAGAGCACTGGCTGAGGCCCTGAGTTCGATTCCCAGCACCCACATGGCAGGCAGCTCACAGTGGTCTGAAACTCCAGCCCTAGGGGATCCAATGCCCCTATTATTCTGGCCTCTTCAGGCTCCAGTCATGAAAGTGGTGTGTTGATACACATATAGGCAGAACATGCTTACACATAAGATTAAAAAAAAAAAGACACAAAAAAACAGAAGTGGCTTTGCATTGCAGTGTCTGTGTTTTGCAACTCTGAGTTTCCCCTTTCTCTTGCTAACGTCACAGACCTGTGACATTTACTGACAAATAGCCAGGCTGCCCTGGTTCACTGTTTTAAGGGCTGTGTAATATTCCAGGCAAAATTGGGTAAATAAACCACTGGATGCTCATTGTTTTTTCTCCCCATGAACTAGGCCCATTGGAAGAATGTGAAGGGGAAGACCGCAGAACCGTGGACCCGTGGATACCTTGGAGAGAGGCCGCGGCTGTGCGTAAAATGCCCATCCACCCTGTAGGACACTTGCATTCCAGACTCTAAACCTCTGCGGTTGCTTCGGAGCCCTCCGGTTTCTATACACACCGTTTGTCAACCTCCCTCCAGTTTCCGCATCCCTATCCCTGAATGAGGTAGTCACCATAGCAACCCCCTGCTTGGAGCCCCCATGGCGGCGTAAAATTGACACACACATACATCCATGGGCACACACTATTCACACACTGATTTATTAGTCTTCCCTCTTCTGAAATGCATGCCTCACCCAGAAGTAGCTCGGGGCAGGTGGGGTGGCTCAGTGGGTAGAGGAACTTGCCACCAAGCCTGACAACTGAGTTTGATGCCTTGTATCCATGTGGTAGAAGGAGAAAACGGACTCTTAGAAGTCGTCTTCTGACCTCCACTTACACGCCAGAGCACGTGAGCGCCTGACACACGCACACAAACTTGCAATGAAACAATGCTGCGTCCCTCCCAGTACCTCCATGCCCCGTGACTGCTGATTCCAACCGAACCTAGCAATGCTCAGACTTTATTTACACTCACTCCATCAGTCGACTGCCTCCCCAGTGTGCCGCAAACCATTCCCAGCACATTCCCAGCAAATTCCCAAACTGGCAGCAGCATTTACCTCAAACCCCCCCCCCCACCTCTTTCCCCTTCCTGGCTCCGACACCTCCCTCTGCAACCTGGCTCCCGACATCCTGCCCCTTCTAACGCCCTCCGCTGCCTCCCGGTGCCCAGGCCCCTGACTCACTTCCGAGCCTCACTCAAGCCCCCAGCCTCCGGGTTCTGCAGGATGTCTAGGCCACCAGCGTTTCCCTCTGCTGGCCCCTCCTCCTCTTCCTCACTGCCAGCCTTTCCCCAAGCCCTCAGCATCGAGCTGGGTACGGTGGCACAGCCTTCTGGAATCCCAGAGCCCGCCAGGGCCCCTGGGTGGGAGGACCACACGCTTTTGAGACCCTGTGTACAGACAAACCCGCGAACCTGGTGTGGTAAGGGCTTGCCTGTAACCTTGGCCCTCGGGAGATAGAGGCAGGAGGTCAAATATCAAAAGCCTAGGCAGGGGATGTGGCTTAGTGGTGCAGCCAGTCCACCCCAGATTCCCAAACCAGTGTGGCAGAGCACAGGGCACAGAACTAAAATCCAGGAGTTCTGAACATGAAGGCGGAGGATCAGAGTGTCAATATAGGGCAATACAAGAGTTTGAGGCTAACTTGGGCTACATGAGACTGGGAAAAAAAATTCTTATTTACTTATTCAGTTAATTATTTTTGTTTCTCTTTGTGTATCCCTGGCTGTCCTGGAACTCACTCTGTAGACCAGGCTGGCTTCAAACTCACAGAGATCCACCTGCCTCTGCCTCCCGAGTGCTGGGATTAAAGGTGTGCTCCATCAATGCCTGGCTGAAAAATAATGTGTTTAAGAGTCCTCAAGGTCTGTGTTGGGGAAGTGGTCCTTTCAGGCTAACTGCCCTTAAGCCTGATTCTTACCGATGGCCACATTGAAGACCCTGATCCATCACCAGTGAGCAGACCCCATGTCCAATCCCAGCCTTGCTGGGTCTCTCTCTCGTTAATGTTATTCGTTAATTTAGTTATTTTGTCTGTGTGAAGGTCTAATGTAAGCTTTCGATACTCAGCACTCTCTGCCCTGTGGGTCTCCGAGATGGAACCCAGCTCCTCGAGGCCGAGAACATCTTTACCTGCTGAGCGGTGTTGAGAGCCCTGTCTTCTTTTTATTATTTATTTGTTCAGGCAGTCTCCATCTCTAATTCAAACTAGCTGGAAGTCTCTATATAACCCAAACTGAGCCTCCTGCCTCAGCCCCCTTTAGTGCCCTAGGGCTGGGATTGCAGGTGTTTTTTTTTTTTTTTTTTTTTTTTTTTGCCTGTAACGGGTTTTCTGGGTGCTGCACCCCTCATCTCTTGGGAGGCAGCAAGCACT